GAAAGAAAGAAAGAAAGAAAGAAAGAAAGAAAGAAAGAAAGAAAGAAAGAAAGAAAGAAAGAAAGAAAGAAAGAAAGAAAAAGAAAGAAAGAAAGAAAGAGAAAGAAAGAGAAAGAAAGAGAAAGAAAGAAAAAGAAAGAAAAAGAAAGAAAGAAAGAAAGAAAGAAAGAAAGAAAGAGGAAAGGAAAGGAAAGAGAGAGAGAGAGAGAGAGAGAGAGAGAGAGAGAGAGAGAGAGAGAGAGAGAGAGAGAGAGAGAGAGAGAGAGAGAGAGAGAGAGAGAGAGAGAGAGAGAGAGAGAGAGAGAGAGAGAGAGAAAGAAAGAAAGAAAGAAAGAAAGAAAGAAAGAAAGAAAGAAAGAAAGAAAGAAGGGGTAGGGGAGGAATGAAATGGAATATCCAGGAAAAGGGCATGAACAGAATGGTTGTTTGGCTGAAACACAGAACAAATACACTTGATACTGATATATTTTCTTGTAGATCCAACTTGTATATGTTTAAGTGTGAAACATCTGGATATTACTTGCCATCAAAAAGAGACAGATATAGGCTTGCCACCAGTTCTTTATTTCAACCTGTCCAATGTTTGGTTAGAAATAGTTGCAACCAAGATAAGTGGGACTTATTTTCCTCTAAATTGTTGATACAGTAATGTATATTTATTCTAAAGGAAGTTTCACTGCAATACAAAGTTAAAATAATATCTCATCCTATTTATATCTAGTTAGAGATAAGCCCCAATTCAGTCAATGAGATATGCTTCCAAGTAAGTAAGAAAATATTTCAGCTCTGTTTGCTTTACCATTATATGGATCATTATTTTGGTAATTGGGCAGTGTTAGCAAATTTCAGTCATAAGATGAGATTCATGGGTAGATGATACTGTCTTCAGAAGGACAGAAGGTCCATACAGTGTAAGATTTGAAACTGACTCAAATCTGCAATGGAGCTAATGGGAATAAAAGGCCTGCCAGTGACAGTAACAGTATTAGCCCAAAAAATGATAATTTGAGAGGAAACTCTAATGGTATGGAATCACTGATACCATCAAGATTACTTTTTGAATGTACAACACTGAATTTAAGTCTTATTTCATTTTATTTTTTAAAAAATATCTAGGATCATCATTCAGAAGAGATCACAGAGTTTATGTATAAAATTGTAAAAACAAATGCAAAGTAATGACAATAACATTTATCATAAGAGCAAGGCATGTCTGATGGTGGAATACTCTGTATCCAGTACCAGCCAGTGATAAAAATTGGGAAGATGGATGTTCTGGGAGAAGAGCTGTGTTTGCTGATTTTACTGGGAAGATTTAAAGCTGTTTGGCTCTACAGACCTGCCAATATAAAAGTATAAGCTAGTATTAATCCTATGACAGTATTTGCATAGCCCACTAAATGACAAAGTAGCCAACCACAGGGTGGGCGTTGTGACAGAGATGGCACATCTTCTAGGTCCCATCAGATGATATTGTTTAATAGAATAGACCCAAAGCATGCACGCTCTGTTAGATCTAATGGGATGAGCAGAAACGATCAGAAATAGGTGATCCTTCAATCTGTTCCTGTGCCATGTATGGCTTTATAGGTGGTAACCTTGAATTGCATCTGGAAGTTGACTGGGAGACAATACAGCTTGCAAAGCAGTGCCATTATAAGGACATATTACAGTATGCCCATAACTACCTGCATTCTGGACCAGTTGTAGCTTCTGAGTGATCTTTAAGAACAGCCCCAGGTGGAACATTTGCAGTAATCCAAACAGGAGGTGACCAAGGCATGAGTAATCATAAGCAGGACCTCCCCTATCCAGGAATGGGCACAATTAGAACACAGGATGTATTTGTGCAAAGTCCTTCTCGAGCAGAAGCCAGGAGTCTAGGAGGATCCCCAAATGGCATACTAGTTCTCTCTTTGGAGTTTCTGAACAACTCATGAAGGTCTGGTTCACCACAATGGTTGGATTTACAGAATGCACTAAGCCAAAACAAATCAAACTATGTTATGGCTTATGTGATCCCAGTCATTAATTCATTTTTTCTGTCTAAACAGTATGTAGATGTAAATAAATTTTCGTACAACTAATGTTCTTCATTTGTCAGACTACAACCCTCATCATCTCTAGACAACATGGCTATTGGTTCCTTTATTTTGGCAATATTTATTATCTTAAAAAGGACCTTGCAGGATTAATTTTTCTTTCAAATTTTCTGTTTGATAGGGTTACTATTATATCTTACTTCACTTGCTATAACAATTTAAATGATTGGTTTATTTAATAAAACACACTACAAGCAGCTGTTGTCATTATCCAGTTCAAATGCAATTCATTTTATAGTCAGTGCCAAATAAGGGTGAATGCACAATTAAGACCATTCAGCTTAATATCTATCTTTCTTCAGAATTAATGCTAATTTATTCTGTTTACAGTTAAATACCCAAGATTAGAACATTTTGTTGCTCTTAGCAAACCCCTCCTGCTGCACACACAAAAAGCTAACAGCATTCTAAGAGGGTCTCAAAAGGGTTTTCTTATGCAAGCTTCATTTAAAGAATGGGAGCTGGATAAAATCATGAATTCGTTTTAACAGTACTTACACAAACCAACTTATTGTATCTTAGTTTATAATAGCAAACAAAATAAAAACCAAGCACTCAGTCATATCCATTTAAGTCTAAAATGCACTCTTAACTATGTTTATTCAGAAACGAATCTCAGTGTGTTTTGTGGGCTTCATAGTAAACACGTCTTGTATTTCAACTTCAGAATTTTTTTAAATGTTAAAATCACTTCCATGTATTTGGTTTGCTGTTTGGCTGGTTTATAATAAAATTAATTTAGGCTACAACCCTATTTATACTCACCAAGAAGTAAGTCTTACTGAACCAACTGGAAGTTATTTTAGAGAAAATACATATGCATTTAAAGTGTTGCTCCTGAATTCATAATATTGCTAAGCAAATATTAATAAGTCAAACTTGGTGATGATTAAGCTTCCAGTGTATTTGTTATTTTTTAAAAGACACTGTACACATTTCTGCACATGAAAAATAGAATAGTCTGATTTTTAAAGTGCGTCATAACTAAAAATCTGCAGTGGTGCTACTTTGGCAATAAATACTAATGTGAAAACTAAATTATGAAAAAAAGGCTGAACTTCTAAGCTCACTTACCTGGGAGTAAGAAGTATTAAAATCAATGTAGCTTAGTTTTGAGTAGATATTCCTAAGATTGTATTATAAGTTGTTTTCATCTGAAGCCTGAATACAAGATAGATGCAATTTTAAATATTATTCAAATATATGCTTATACTGAAATACTGTAGTACAAAGAAACAGCAAAGGAAACTCCACATGAAACCTGGAGTTTGAGTTATTTATTCTGTTTTAAAATTAGACTTCCCATTTAGAGTAAGAGAAGATCCCTGGTTTTTATTTTCACAACACTTTTAATGTGTGGTTAACTATATACATAAAATCATAAACTAAACGGATGGACTGTATTTGCACAACTCACTTGGTTAAAAATGTAACTGTCAAGATGGTGCCTTGGTGGGACTTGAGCCCATTCCTTTGGAATGATTTATACATATTCAGGTAATAATGAAAGTTAATAGAAAAGGTCATTTTGAAAAGAGAGATGTGGCACTGTGTATTGTCTTCCTTATGCATTGGACTACAATTCTCATGAACCCCAGCAAACATTACCAGTAGCATTTTACTCTGGAGAAACAAAGACTGAATAGAAATTTCCTTCCAAATCATCGACTGGATTCATACATATTTCTGAACCAGAGCTCTCAAACTGAACTCATAATTAGTGCTGCATGGGGACAAGTTCATTAACCTGAGGGCCTCAAAATTGAAACTTTTTTCACATTGACACAAGCGTTACTTGTGAGTCAAAAATGAATCTGAGTATGATGATATGCCATTAAACAAATGTGTTAAATAAGCTTCACAGTGAAACATTACCACAAACCAGCAATTTTACTTTGGCCACTTGGTTGCTAGAGTTTTACATTAACTGGAACCACCAGTATTGGTTTTATTACTGGATATATAATATTTTTGCAAGATATATTTAGGATGATACCGGGTAGAGTCCGCAGGGCCTACAAAATATTGCAGCTGCAGAAAAGTACTCGGAAGGCTGCATGTGGCCCACCAGCCATCAGTTTGAGAGGCCCACTCTAAACCAGACTGTCATGGGCTAGCTTTGGTGTAAGCATTGTTCAGCACTCATGGTTAAACAAACTATGGCTGTTTGTGCAGCATGTGAATGCAGTATTTTAAAATCAGCCTTCCCCAGTGTGATTTCTTTGAGATGTGTTTAAAAAGAAGTAGCTTCCCTTAAGACCAGTCGGACTTCCAGTAACTACATGGTCACAACTTTGAAATGCCTAGTCAGCCTGAGCAATGGTAGGGTTAGCTGGGAATCATAGAAGTTGGATGCCAAGGACACTAATCAGGGAAGGCTAATTTAAATAAAAAACAAAACAGACACAAGATAAAACTACCCCCAGGGTTCCAATTCCTATATGCTTCCTGGGAAATTGTGGAGTTCCAGTAAAGTCACTGGGGATTTATTTTTAAGTAAATACCATTGTTGCCTACAATACAAAATCATTCCCAGAGTACAGGTAGTCCCACTCCACTCCAGGTCAAACTGCTAGTAACATCATACAAACAATCCACATAGTGATTTTGGCAAAACATGGAATACTTTTTTCCAGAATGTTTTTCAACTTCGCTGCCTAACTTACATCCCTGGGATCTCCTGGTGGTCTTCCATAGATTCAGCTTTTTAAAAGCAGACAAGGTCAGCCAGGTGGTGCCATCCAGCTGGAGAACGCAAACAGGTAGAGCCGTAAAACCAGAACCAAGAGTCCTGACGCCTTCCGCTTCCTGCCTTTCTGATGCAAGTGGCCGCGCCAGGGCAGGAAGGAAGCTGTCGTTGCTCGAGATGAGAAGCGGCGTCTCCGCCTTCTGCTCTGCCTGCCCGAAAGACCTGCGGCAAGTGGGGAGAGGCCGCAATGGCCGGACGGCCGCCGCCGCCAGTGGGGGGGCTTCGAGAGGCGCTGGAGGTTCACTTGCAGGGCCTGAGCATCCAAGCGCTCAGCGTGGATCACCCCGAAGTGAGTAGAGAAGCCACGGAACGGGGCGTTGGTGGGAGCAGTGGCCAGTAGAGAAGCCGCATGTGGGACGTGGCTAATCAATCCTTTTCTAACACTCCTTTTTTCCAAAGACGAGGGTTAGTTTACTGCGGAGTCGATGCATGCGAAATAAGCCCAGTTGAGTTCATGGAACTTACTCCAAAGTAAGTTCGTATAAAGTTGCAGTCTTGGTAGTTGTATCTGCCCAACACTAGGCATAGAGATGGCTGCTAGATGGCAGCAAAGTGATACAGAAAACATTCGGAGTTTTAAGCCCAGGCATGGAAGGCCTGCACAACGTGTTAAGTTATAAACTGTGGTTAACAAGCTGCCATGGCTGTGTCACTGATCATGCTGTCCCAAAGCACAGTTAAGGTGGTTTAAGATGGTGATCTAATCAAAGCTACACACGAAGACATAATATGGCTTGCTTGTGGTTTGTAAACCATGGTCTGTGTAATATGGCCATTCTAAGGAATTGAGGGACTTTAACCATGATGTCAGTTGATTGCCCAAATAAATGAAATGTATTCATTTTCGATGTTCAGTTTAAGTATTTGTTAACGTTACAATAATTAAAACTATAAATAGGCTAATTTAAAAAACCAGTGTTAAGAAAAGTATTATTTTGAATATGCTTAGAGGCTTCCTGATTTCCTTTGAATGGCTGCCACTCATTTGTGTAATGTTGAACTATGTCAAGGATTTGAGGATATTAACAGGAGCAGGAGAAAGGATTTTAACTTTTAAAAAACAAAACAATTTATGTACGTATGTAAGTCAATCTGATTATCCTGCTGAAAACCACCCCTTTGTTGTTCATCAATTTGCTGCCAAATTTCAACAACATAATCTTTAGGAGTGAAAAGAAAGGTTCAAGAATTGCTTATTCTGGTCTACATAATTAGAATTTTTATGGATTTCTTAAGTAGTACCAAATTGGAATGTGCAAGATTGTTGCATTGTTCCTGTTCATTTCCCTGGGCCTTATACAGTGGTACCTTGGGTTACAAACGCCTCTGCTTACGAACTTTTCTGGTTGCGACCAGCTCCGGCCGCAAAAATTTACCTCGGTTTGCGAACCCGTACCTCGGGGTACGAACTGGATTCGCGGCCATTTTTCTGCCCGTGCCACGTGGTCCGCGGCCATTTTTCCGCCCTGCTGCGCAGTCCGTGGCCATTTTCCACCCGTGCCATGTGGT